AGAATTCTTAAAACAGCGGCGGCGGAGGCGGCGGCGATTTTTTTTTGTAATATATATATATATATATATATATCTACCTATGTAAAAAAAGATATCGCTGACAACGCCGTCGCCGCTGTTTCAAGAATGAATGCTAGGCGAGAATTTCGACGCTACGCGGAAACTCACTGTACTCGCCTTCCATCCATACATAGACGAAAACGAACATAATCATAGTCATATGCCAAAAACTATGGTTTTTGATAGAATTGAGACGGATATAACCTTAAAATTACTATCAGAGATCAAGATATGACCCTCCTTTTAAAATTTCAAAGGTCATAGGTCAAAGGAGAACATAACCTTAAATTTACGTCGAAGCTCATAAGCGTAGAGGCTAACATAACCTCAAAATTTGGTCAAAGTCATAGAAAAATATACTGACATAACCTCGAAAATAGGATCTTAGGTAAGAAGGACATCATCCGTGGTGCATCTTGGAAACAAAATTCTTTAAAATGAAAAAAAAAATTTTTTTTTTAAATTTGGCTAATACCAATCTTTAAAAATATATGAAAACTTATTACCTTCTGAATTATTATTTTAATTTCAGAAAAGATGAAAATTTAGTTTACGAATGAAAGTTCAAATATACAGGTTTATAAATATTAAAATATAAATAAATTTTTTTTTTATTTTTTAAAATAAAATGTATTTTCATTTGCTTTTTTATGAGTTTACTAAAAGATCCTAGTGCCCAAAACACTTTTCATTTCAAAAAATAAAAAAAACGAAAAAAAGTAAAAAAAATTTTTTAAACAAATTATGTAAACAAAAGGATCATCAGGCCCACTCCAAAACTTATTACAAAAGTTTCCTCTTATTTTCATGTGTGTAAAAATAAAAAAAATTTAAAATATCGCCCCTAAATTTGAAAAAAATTTAATTTGTTTATAAAAAATCGCTGTCTTTTATAAACAAACTTAAAATTTCTTTTAAACTTATTCCATTACTTATTAATTTTTAACTGCAGAATAGGTGAAAATTTAGTTTACGGATGCAATTTAAAATATAGTTAATGTTCGTATTAAAAAATAAATGAATTTCTGATGTTTAAATATAATAACTTTCTATTCTAATAATATTTAATATTTTTAGTAAATTTAAATAGATAGTTCGTGAGCGAAGCGCGCAGGCAGGTGAAGTACCTCTAATATGAGGCAAAATTCATGAAATGTCCGAACAAAAAATTAAAAGTTCTCGAATTTAATCCATACTTTTCTAAAATGTTGTTATTGTTGGTGAAAGTCTAAAAATCAATTATCTTCCTATATTACAAGAAGATATCGCCGCCGCCGCTGTTTCAAGAATTCTTGACCTAGGTTATGTTCGTTTCAAGGCTCTGAATATAGCCGCAAGTCCCCCTCCCTCCACTCATTTCCCCTCCTCCGTAAAAAATGACCTAAATTTTGAGGTTATGATCGTTTCAAGACTCTGAATATAGCCGCAAGTCCCCCTCCCTCCTCTCATTTCCCCTCCTCCGTCAAAAATGACCTAAATTTTGAGGTTATGTTCGTTTCAAGACTCTGAATATAGCCGCAAGTCCCCTACCCTCCCCCGCCAGAAATGACCTAAATTTTGAGGTTATGTTCGTTTCGAGGCTCTAAATATAGCCGCAAGTCCCCCCTCCCTCCTCTCATTTCCCCTCCTCCGCCAAAATGACCTAAATTTTAAGGTTATGTTCGTTTCAAGTCTCTGAATATAGCCGTAAGTCCCTTCTCTCTCCTCTCATTACCCCTCCCCTGCCAAAAATGACCTAAAGTGTACCCAACCCATGTTTTTGACAAGGTTAGGTTATCCAACGTTTTTGACATGGATAGTACAATGGTTGGTTACACTTGACCCATATGAATATAGCCACAAGCCCCCCTCCCTCTCTTCTATCTTCTCTCTTCGTATTTCCCGCCAAAAATTACAAATTTTGAGGTTATGTTCGTTTCAAGACTCTGAATATAGCTGCAAGTCCCCCCTCTCTCCTCTCATTTCCCCTCCCCTTCCAAAAAGGAGGTGGAGTTCCCGCTAAAAATGACTTGAATTTAAAGGTTATGTTCGTTTCAAGACTTTTTAATAATTTATTGGTTTTTTCATTGTTTGAAGATTTTCAGTCATATTTTACTAATTTGCAGTTACAATTTCACTAAATAATTCAATGACCAACTTCTCCCTGATTCATCAGAGACATTTCATTGACTCAAATTGAGAGTGTAGAAAAGTTCTTGGTTTATTATAATTTTAAAATTGTTTTATTATTGTTTTTTATTTATTAATAAAAAAAAATTAAGATCCACAATTGGTAGAGGTAATATACTATTAATTGTAAAGCATTGCCCTTTGTTATTTGAAAAATTTTGTAATATTTACATAATATTCAAATGAGATATTTTTATTTTTCAAAGTTATCTTTTTTTATATAATCATTACATAAACAAAACTAATCATTTTTTATTTAGGTTTTACGATACAAAATTGGTTACTTCTCCGTAGTGTATCTTGGAAGCAAATTTTATTGAAATCTAGATAAATATTATTAAAATTAAAATTTTAATCAGTAAATTTATTAAAATTAGAAAATTTCAAAAATTATTTGAATAAAATAAAAAATTCAATGAAATTGGCTAAATACCAATAAAATATTAAAAACTTTTATTATACATTATAATATAATATAATTTTTTGAAATAGGTGGTTCATTTAGATAAAGAAGATCAATGGAAAATTAAAAAAAAATGATTAAAACAGGAGGGTTGGCGCGCGAAGCGCGCAGAGGGGCCCTGCCCCCCTAGTATATATATATATATATGAGAGATTCTTTTTCAATCGCCCCAGCCCAAAAAGTCAATGTTCTGGGATTGGCTTCATACTTTGGTAAATTGTTGTCCTATATGATAGTAATAAATCCCTAAAATATAAACTAATTAAAAAAATATTTGTAGAAAGTAGAGGGGGTTGAAGTTTTGACGTTAAGGGTAACATTGTCATTTTCAAATCCGTATAACTATGACAAAAGTTAATGGATTTTAATTTATCTATAATGAATTTTATTGCATTTTTCACGTACTTTTCAAAAATGTATACAAAATTTAAAAAAAAAAATTTTTGACCCCTTTTTTCAAAATCAACCCTTATTTTTCGATTTTCACCCCTTCGGGTATTTTTTTTTTTTTATTTATTTTCATTGGAAAGCTGAGGTTTTTTCCGATGAGCTATGTAAATATGAAAATGGGACAACAATAATTTTGTGAGTAACAGAATATTAAAGTAGGCGGTGCCGATAAGGGGTGTACCTGGAGATCATCTTTGAGGATTTAGATAGGCACCGCCTAATTTAATATTATGTTTCTCACAAAATTATTGTTGTCCCATTTTCATATTTACATAGCTCATGGGAAAAAACCTCAGCTTTCCAATGAAAATAAAAAAAAAACAAAAAAAAATTCCCGAAGGGGTGAAAATCGAAAAATAAGGGTTGATTTTGAAAAAAAAGGGGTCAAAAAATTTTTTTTTTAAATTTTGTATACATTTTTGAAAAGTACGTGAAAAATGCAATAAAATTCATTATAGATAAAATAAAATCCATTAACTTTTGTCATAGTTAAACGGATTTGAAAATGACAATGTTACCCTTAACGTCAAAACTTCAACCCCCTCTACTTTCTACAAATATTTTTTTAATTAGTTTATATTTTAGGGATTTATTACTATCATATAGGACAACAATTTACCAAAGTATGAAGCCAATCCCAGAACATTGACTTTTTGGGCTGGGGCGATTGAAAAAGAATCTCTCATATATGGGACGTTTCACGTCAATCGGCCAGGGCTCTCCCCAAAATTCTAATCAATTAAAATAAACATACAATAGATCAAAATACTCGTAAACTAATACCATTTCAAAAAAACGTGGCAGAATTTAAAATGGCATCATTATGATACCGCTTTAAATAAGCTGTATTCGTGAATAAGTGAGTATACATATTAATTAATTAATATGAATTATTATTAATTAGTTAATTATTAATTAATTAGTTAATTATTAATTAATTAGTTAATTATTAATTAATTAGTTAATTATTAATTAATTATTAATTTGAAAAAGATTTTTATAGTGCTGTTTTGCCCCATCAGTAAAATAAAAGATTTTACTTACTTTTTGACAGACCTTTTTAATTTCAGGTATTAATGTTTGTTGCATTAAATGCACTGAAGCTTTGTCGTGAGTTGTAGTATCTGACATTAATATAATACTACAGTGCTCTACTTTGTCTCCAAGCTTATAGTAAAAATTGACTGGATGTACGGTGCACTGATCTTTATTATAATGAAATCCTTGAGCAGCGGTTTGTACAACAAAGGCAAAGTTTTCTAAAAAATCGCACTGCAAAAGAAGCTCACCTTCTACAAGATTATCTTTTTTATATTTGAAAAAGTTTGACTGATTTTTAGCTTCAGAATACACCTATCGGTTGATTGCCAACAACTGCAGATTATTTCAGAAACATTGTTTTTTTCTAAAACACATAAAATTTTGGTAGAAAAATTTTCAATCCTGGGACATGAAGAGCACTCTAAGAGGAAGCATGATGGTTCAGGATTTTAGCATATACTTATAGGGATATCCTGAGGATATTCTAGGAATATTCCAGGGATATCCTAGTGATATCGTGGGGATATTCTTGGGATAAACTTGGTATATCGTTAAAATATTCTAGAAATATCGCTAAGATCTCCCTAGGATATCATTATGATTCAAATTTTGACTATTTGAGATAGAGATTTTTTGATACAAATAGGTTTCCCGTGATTGTCAATCATCTTTCAAATCTGGGCCTTAAAGTTGATAATTAGAGCATATATTTAAGCCAAAAATGCGATTTTCGACACTTTAAATTCGTTTTTTATGGGACTGACCAAATGAAAAATTTTTGTTCTAACACACGCACCGAAAGTACATTATTTCTTACCTGTGTAGCGGGAGAAAAGTATGTCTTTTCCGACGAGCAGATCCCTCCCGATGATGTTGTTATTAGGTATTACATATTAATCAAACTATGAACAATAGTGAGTCTTAAACGTCTGGTACACCACAAGTAGTAACTATACTACTACCAGACACAATCATACCATCATCAATAGTATCCACACTACCGCAAACCTTCGCCTGCGGCTCGTGCGCTCGCTACGCCTCGAACTGCAAACTACACTCGTGGAAATCAACCATTTTCCTCCCTAGATGCACAATATACTATTCTGGCATGATCTTGTTCAGTGACTTTTTTGAACAGTAAATTAAAGATTCTGGCCACTGTGCAGCGAAGTTGGGACAGCGAAGACTAGGGACAGGAGGAACAACACGGCTGTTTGTCCACATGGAGCAGTGGGCTAGATTGTGCCAAATAACATAAAATATGTACAGTTGAGCAAGTGTTTCATAGTTAGCGCTTGAGTTGGTTTCAAGAGATTTTTTAAAGAAAAAGTAGAAAAAAGAATTCTTGTAGACAAGGTAAATCATTTTAGATATCTTGGAAATACATTATAAATACATCCAAAAAATATGTTTTCCATTTTTATTTAATTAATTTGTATGTTAGGGTCGTTTTGTGGATACCTTAGGGAAATTTTTAGAACGACTCAAGGATATTCTAACCCTTAAGATAATATAGACATACGGTGGATATCCTTAGGACGTCCTGAGGATATCCTTGGGACGTTCTAAAGATATCCACAGGATATCCTAATAATATCCGGGGAAATGATTAGGACATCCCTGGGACGTTCTAGGGACATCCTTAGATATCTCTAGGATATCCTAATCGCCGCTACTTTGGATATCCTTTAAGTATCTTTAGGTTATCCCTGGGGTATCCCTAGGATATCCAAAAGATGTTTTTGGAATATCCTAGGATATCTGGTGCTGTGAGGGAAGATTCTAGAAAATTAAAAATGACTGCGCAGCTGTATAGGCCATATAAACTGAGATCGACAAGTGCGCATCATTTGAGTTGGATTTTTTCTATAATATTTTAATGAAATATTTCAGCAAAATTACACTACAATATTTCTTACAGGCGGACATTTCCCTACTTTCAGCAACATTTTAAGAACTTCGCACTGGAATATTTCAGAAATATTTAGGAAATATCATGTGCTGTGTGGGCAATTACGTTTCTATTCTGCTCAGGCCTTGAGCTCTAAGTAAGCATGACAAGGTTATCAACTTCTTTATAAAAGTAGTATATTTCCATGGATTGTGATAAGTTAAAACGTTGCAGTTAAAGGCGCTTGTATACCTCATCGATCTCGAGTATACTTCTGTCGTGTACCATTGGAGTAAAAGTGACAGAAATATCTTTGGTCTCTTTACCCCAATGATACACTACGCAACCCAAGTAGCACGGAATATTGCTTAAATGTCAAGGTGATATCAAGCGAGAATATTCTTGTGACATTCAGGCGATATCATAATGTCCGCTTCATGGGGACATTTCACGGTGATATTCCTGTGACATTCGCGTGATATTCTTATGATACCGAGGGAATATTCCGGTGAAATTCATGTAATATTGAGGAGATATCCTAGTGATATTGAGCGGAGTATTCCTGTGATATTGAGGAAATATCCCTGTGACATTGAGATAATATTCCTGTTATTTATAAAATTCTAAAATGTTGTTTGTTTTGAATATTTAAATAAAAAAATTAATAAATGGAAAAAAATAGAAAATTTTTTTTAGAATTTTTTAAATTATCTCATCAATATCACAGGGATATTCCGCTCAATATCACTAGGATATCCCCTCAATATTACATGAATCATATGAATATCACGCGAATGTCACAGGAATATCACCGTGGAATGTCCCCATGAAGCGGACATTATGATATCGCCTGAATGTCACAAGAATATTCCCGCTTGATATCAACTTGACATTCAACCAATATTCCGTGCTACTTGGTCAGTATACTCGAGATCGGTGAGGTATATAAGCGCCTTAAGAGGTGCACGTAAAACAGGCTGAATTTTCTCATGTTTTCGAACAAAACGGCGTTTTGTTTACAACTTTGTACTGAGCAAACGACCTATATTCAGACAGCCCAGGCACTGCTAAGAATCAAATGGAGTATAAAAAATAAAAAAAATTTACATTTTGAAATAGTAAAATTACATTTTAGAATTTATGTAATTCTACTATTTTCAGTGAGATATTTATACACTTTTTAAATTTAGAAATACAATCGAACTTGTAACTTTACAATTGTCGTAGTAGTAAAAGAACAGAACGATGTAATAGTACAAGATTAAAATGCTTTTGTGTGAGTTTCCAAGTAGGTAAGAAAATAAACCCTCTTTGAAAGCGACAAAAGTATTCTATAATGTATTTAAAAATTAAATAAACGCACTCAAAATAGTAAATTAGCTGATATAATGTTTTATGTACTTATGCCACTTTCACAGTAGGTAAGATTTTGGACCTACGTAGAAAGTGTTAATGTAATAAGAAAATTTTTTTATGTTTAACGTTCGCGAACATTTTTCGCAAAGTTATTCTGCTTAGACCTTTAGCACGAGTTTCGATAAAATTTGCTCAGTACAAAGTTGTAAACAAAACAAGTTTCTAAAAACGACAAAACAATCACACCTGTTTTGGTCAAAAACATGAAAAACTGTACCCTGTTTCACTTGCACCTTTTAATTGCAATGTTTTAACCAATGAAATTTAATGTTAAATGTTTAAATGCTGAAATCTTGAAATTAAAAGTTTAATATTAATTTTAATTTAATGTTTTAATCAATGAGACTAAACTATACTTCTATAAACAGATTGAGAACCTTTTCGTGGTAACTGAGCGCTCATTAAGTTGTTTCTACAATAAGCGCGTCGGACGTGAACGCGATCGTGTACGTAAGGCGGCGATTTGGTCAAGTCAAACACAGTCTGAGTTGTCACGTCAGGTAACTTTTTACCAATTATTGCTTTTGATGTTGCTAAAACTCCTTCTGCTTTTCCCAAAAGTTTCGCTTTCTTTGCTTGTTTTTCAGAACCAACAAATACTGAAACAATTTGTCGAACAATCCAACATGCAGGATCTTTTGTAAGTATACACAATCTTAGATGATCATTGTTTGGATGTGAAGAATATTTCTCCTTAAGGCCACATTATAATTGTTTCAACTGGTCTTCTCTTGACAAATATATTTTTTTACTTTGTGGTTCTCCTGTGTCGAAATCGATTCTCGATTGAAGAACCTTTCCTCGACATTTTTCGACATTGGCTACAAATTCTAGCATTTTCAAATATCTGAGGAAATACTTTTGATAATTCTTTTGATTTTTTTCTCAAATCTGAACCCTTATGTTTTTGTCGGTTGAAAGGATTAATGCACCTATCTGCATGGATCAAACCTTAAGTAAACTTTTTTTTACTCTCTACCATAATTTTGACATTATTATATAAAAAATAATACTGCAAAACAAATACCAGAAAGAAGAAATAAAAGAGAAGAATGAGGAAACGAATTGAAAAAAACTGAAAAAATGACTGAAGAAAAAAAATATTAAAAAAAGAATACCTCAAGAAAATACAGAACAAAGAACTAAAGAAAGATAGAAAATAGAAAGCTCTGAAAAGAACTGATTTGTAAATTTAAAATTCAAAAGATACCACCTACCTGATAGAATGCACGAAAAATTCGTAATATTTCTATCTCAAAAGTATTCTGTACTTATACATTTCTCTGCGCATCCCGCTTGTAAACGAACGTACTACAACTACGAGTTCACCACCTAGTGGATAAATGAAAAACTTTAATGTGAAGCGCGCGATATTTGAAAACGATGTAAGAATTATAAATAAAAAATCTGATAAGAGTACCCTATACCCATATATTTTGGTGTGCTGAACACGAATCTAAGGTCAAATTTGGTCCACAACGTCAGGATTCTTTTCTAACATCAAGAATATGACAGATTTTACGTAACATACAAAAATTTTTTAAAAATTGGTTTAATTAACTTGAAACTCATTTCTCGGGGGTTTTCGGGGTCGCTGATTACGAATCTGATATTATTTTTTTTAAATTCAACATGGCGGATCCAATATGACATACGACATTTTAAAAATCGAATGCAATTCGTTTAAAACTTGTTACTCAGCGGTCTCGAAAACACCCATATAACAAATTTTATAAAAATCCATCGTACTTTAAAAGAAATTTGTAAAAATTTTTTTTAAAAATTTGTCCGTAAAAATGATTAACATTTTTCGATGTTAAATGTGCTTTATCTCCTACATTAAATTTGAATTTTTTCTTTATTACAGAAAAATTTTTCTTTTTGTAAATATTAATTAATAATTGTTTTTCATTTTGTGCAGTTACATTTTTTGGCTTCATTTTTATAGTTTGATGTTTAGTATTATTGTAAGAAGATATTAAATTAGATAATATATCTATCCACTTGTAATTACCGTGCAAACTGAATTGCATCCACATTTTTTTTTTAAAGTACGATTAAAGCGTTCACAAATTGATGCTTTTAAATTGCTATAAGTAGAGTACATATGAATATTATAATTTTTCATAAGATTTACAAAATGTGAATTATTAAATTCTTTTCCTTTATCTACTTGTAAATTTTTCGGTACGCGTTTTTTACTTAAAACAGATTTCATTGCCGCAGTCACATCTTCACCTTTCTTGGACTTGACGGGAACAGCCCAGGCAAATTTGGAGAATACATCGATGATGGTTAACATATATTTGTAGCCTTTATTTTGGCGCTCATATGATTGCATTTCAACGAGATCAGCTTGCCACGTCTCGTCGATACCCCGAATGTCGACATTTCTTCGTTTATAATTTTTTCTCGCTGGTTTGTGTAACTCTTTCACCAACTGTAGTTTTTCTTTTTCCATTTTTATAAATCTGGCTTTCCTACTAGTGTTTGCAATCTGCTGTCTAATCGAGAAATACTCTCTTTCATAGATAACAACTTTTCTCCAATATGCGTTCGAAGATTTTCAAAATTTCTTGTTGTAGTATCTTCTAATGTTGAAATTCTTACATTATTATCAGTTCTTAAAGATTCTATTATATCATAGATGGCGTTTTCTTTAGTTTCTATAAATTTGTTTACCGTATTCATATTCACTGAATCACCGTTACTCTCAGGATCCGCCACGTTACATAATTTTTTATTTTCTATATTAAAATCTCCGTTTGGTGTAAGTTTAACCCTTTCGTGCCTCCGGTACATATATGTACCACTTACAAAATTTGATGTAACTCTTACAAATTTAACCCAATCAGTAATTCCAATGGATAGTTTTATTGACAATCGTTATTACTATATGTTAAAAAATAGAAAACAGTATTATACAGT